GTGCCCGAGGCTGCTGCTGCTGCTAGGGGGGTGGCTCTGGGACGTCCTGTTGGACGCGGTGACAATGGAGTGGGAGCCCAAAGGGAGTGAGGGAGGGACTCCGAGCAGGGCAGCCACGCTGGGGGAGGACCCAGGAGGCCGGGAGGGCACTGGGCATGGGGCGGCAGCTCCGGGCAGGCAGGGTCTGGCCGGGCACGGATGCCCAAGGGGCTGTGCTCAGTGAGGGGACACACAGTGTGGCACATAGGGTTGTGTGCTGCCCTCTTCACTCATTCACACATAAGCCTTTTCTCACTTATCGCAGAGCCTGTAGGGCACGAGGGAGGTGCTGAGCGTCCACGTCTTAGATGACAGGGCCCTGTCTGTGTATCTGGGAGCCGGTGCAGCGGAGCAGAGGTGTGCAGACTGGGGCACAAGCACCCCCACCCACATCCCAACTGTCCCTTAGCCGCCGTCATCTCCGTGGAGGAGATGGGGTCTTGGTGGGAAGCTGCTCTCCCACGAGTACAGAGCCCAGCAGAGTGCCCTGGTCTGTTAGAGGTCTGGTCTAGATTCTGGAACACTTGAGGTGGGCAGAGCTGCAGAACTCAGAGGCTGACTTAGTGAATAATTTGCACAGTCCTATAGGTTAAGGTTTTCCATTAAGCTCTCTATGCTGCCGATAATTTAGCTGGAAGATGTGTTAGATACAGCACTTGGGGACAATGGAGTACCCATCTCAGGGGATAATGACACTGTGAAGCCAGATTATTTCTACCGTGGAGAACAATTGTAAGCCTGTGCTAGTAGATTAAACTGCTAGAGTGATCGTTTTGAACAAAGAAAATGGTCGAGAGCTATACAGCCAGCCATAAACTGATAGGGGTAGGTAAAGAGTAATAATTCAACCCTGTTGATCTATGGCATGTAATCCCTTTAGTCGCTGCCACGCTACAGCAGCTGAGGAAGGTCCCCGGACCTGAGGTCACCCAGACTAACGTCCAGATTTTGCTACTTTCCAGCTGTTTGACCTTAGATGAGTCACCAGACGTTAGAGGTTTCATTCAGAGATGCCCAAGCCACGAGATGCTGTGTGCAAATGATTGGGATGAGGCCGGGAGAGTGTCCACTGGGTTTCACGGGGACAGGGGAGGAATGCCATGGTTTGCAGAAACACAAAGCCAAACAACAAACAGAGTGGGAATCATGTAACAGGTAGAGTGCGGAAGTGGGAGGAGGGGCTTGCTCTGCAGGGAGCCTCTGTGCCTCCCTCTGTAACGCAGCCCTCCACCACCCCCGGCTGCTGTTTCTCCAGCCGTACGCGAAGCGGGGCCTCTCCGGGGCTGGTGGAGCTGCTCACGCAAGCTCGTGAGAACGTAAACCTGCGGTGAGTCAGGCTTCGGACGCCCCGCCTGTTACAGCTGTGCCACCCGGAGGGCCGCTCTTGGCAGGACTTCTGTGAACTGGACATTTATCTTCGTCGCTCTGTCTGCTGAATTAAGCCCAACGGACCGTGTTTGGAAAGTTTATTTTACTCTTATAATTAGCAGTGAGTGAATTTAACTGGTGATTCCGGTAGACAAATCCCTAGAGCTGAAAATTGGAAAAAAAATGGAGAAAGGATTATGTTAAATAGACTTAATACGTAGAAAAGGTAATATGGGCAAATAAATGTAGCTATTTCGAGGGAGAGACAGATGATGCTAAGTCTTCTCTTCCCATGTTAGGCGAGTCGCGGTTCAGGGGCTGCCGCGGCTTCCTGGGAAGCCGCCAGCGTCTTCCTGTGTAAAAGCAAGTCTCAGTCTCTCAGCTGGTGAGCGAGGTTCTTCGGGATGTGGTTGTGAACTTCATTTCAGGCCTCGCCCGCCCCCGCTCCCCAGCACCGCCTCTCCTATGACTCATGCACTTTGGACAGACACACAGCCCCTGGGAGCCTCCCCTCTGCAGACACACTCGAGGTCTGGGGTCCCTCACTCAACTAGGAGCAAAGCCTCAGTGCAGACGAGGGGCCCGTAGGAGACGCAGGATGGGGATGTAGGAGTCCTCCGGGCTTTGAGGGAGGGCACGAGAAGCGTGATGGGGAAGCCTGGAATCGGAGGGTTGTGGAAGCAGCGAAGAGGGCGTCTCAGTGAGTAAAGCTGAGGTTGGCTCAGCAGCGTCAGACAGCAAAGGACCGTGTGGAGAGGTGAGGATGGAACTCTGCCCAGTGGGCTTGGTGACTGGGAGGCGGCGGTGGCCCTGGTGGGGCTGTGGGCACATGCCTGCCCTTTGCCGCCTTCCCTCGGCCTGCCATGCCTTTTCCCACCATCTGCGGACAGCGCCTTCCACGAAGTGGCCCCGGGCCCTGATGTGACAGAGTTAGCATGTAATTGCCCTTATTTCGAGCACGGTGGCCTCATGTTGGTTTCTGCCCTTCTTCCACATCTGTGGGCAGTAGCCACGCCTCAGTCGTCCTGGGACCTCCTGGGACGGCTCCTGGGTGTGTGTCTACCCCACTGCCATGGGAACAAGAGCTGCAGCCTCTGCTCATCAAAGCCCTGGGCCTGGCAGGGATCTCTTTGTCCGGGGCAGTAGTGTCAGCCCTTGTCGGTACTCAGCCATCGAGGCGCTAGAGTTGTCCAAGAGGAGAGTGAAGTCTTAGGCTGGACGTCTTCCTCATTTTAGGCTTCATTTCTGATGATGGCAATCACGGTGTGTGAACGACAGTGCCAGGAGGGTATCTCAAAGCTCGTGTATTGGTTGATCTCCCCCTGTTTCTCTGTCACCATTGTGTCATCTGTTTACCTGAAGTGCATCAGCTTGTTTTGCACACCTGAGGCTGGGACCTCAGCATACATCACCCATGCCGCCTGACTTCTTTCTTCATGTAGAATTTACTGGCAGTTAAGAGGAAAGCATTTGTTGAGTATTCCTTCCCCCTTTCCCACTCTTCTGTCAGTTACCTTCTTTCAAAGTGAAATAAATCAATATTTACTTCTAAAGTCTCCGTTCACAGTACATTTTCCCATTTAAATGAAATTGAAACAAACAGTAAAAGAAGAAGAAAAAGGCCTCCATCTACTGCAGAAAAACAGCTCAGGCTAAATGGATTAATACTTTCTACCCAGGGTATCTCTCTAGCTTCTGGTAAATTCCGTCAGTCCAAGTTAAAAGGTTCCTTCCAATCAGTAACTTTGTGTGGAGCCCACCCCAGAGGTGCCTCGTCCATTTTCTTCTCTGCATTAAACATGACCCCGTCTGACACAGCCCTTCCTGCTGTCAGGGAATGACACAGGCACAGGGCCGAGGGAGACCCCTGGAAGCCCCATGGGGCGTTCCCATAGACGGCGTGGGGTCATGGCTTGTTACAGAGGGCCAGGCAGGGAGGAGACCGTCCCACGCCAGGCTCCAGCTGGGAAGGGAGTCAGAAGCGTCATGAATGGGAGCTCACGGAGGCCACCTGAGCAAACCCACTGCTTCCAGTCTCTCCTGGGGGTCCTGGGAGTCATTGCTCCTTCTGCCCTCTCTGCCTGGAGTCCCATCCCATGCCTCCTCCGGAGGCTGCCCTGGCACTCTGTCAGAGCATCGCTCGGTTCCTGTGTCTGCCCCGCTAGACTGGTTTTCCACCATGTGCTGCCTGAGCGCCCATCAGGGCACCTGCACCCAGTGGAGCATCGTTGCACAAATACTGGGTTCTTGCTCCGTGCCAGGCATCCGCCCTGCCCACCTGGCTCTGGGAGAAGAGCTGTGCCGGGGCAGTGCCGTCCTAACCCTCACGGAGCTCAGTCCACTGGGACCTGATAAAATGACAAAGGTTTTGTTGAATGAATGAATAGTTGACATGCCGCAGTACCTTAAGAAAACGTTGTTCAGTACACGAATGAAGACACCAAAAGCGCAGTGATGTTATTAAGCACCCACTTTGCATACGGAATCTTCTTCAGTTCTCCTAGCCATTCTCTGAAGTGGGCATTTTCGTCCCTGTTTTACAGATGAGACACCTGAGAGTCATAGGGGAGAGTGGGCAAGGCTCACAGCTAACTGCGGGGGAGCTGCTGTGTAAGCCCCGCGAAGTGCAGGACAAAGTTCTTTCCACCTCGCCTTTCGGACCCCCTGGGGAAGGCTGGTCTCTGTGACATCCCTCCCTACATCTGAGGGCTCTCGTTCCCCAGCTCAGCAAGTCCAGGCCCCTTCACTGTCCTCCTGGGCTGGTTTTCTAATCCTTCAGTCATTTTTGCAGCTCTTAGGGTCTCAACACTTTCTAAATCTTTCCCATATTGTTTATATCATTGCTCTTCTCAAAATCAAAGACAGTTGTAAAACAGACCAGAATGCACAGTCAGGGAGCTGGGGCCTTAGCACCAGCTGGAATTTGGCCTTGTCTGGAATCGGCTTGCTTGGAGCTACAGAGAAAAGCCCGCCCGTAGGAGTGAGCAGGCCCCTCCACTGACAGAGCCCCGGGGCAGTGAGTGCCCATCAGCAGACCCCTCCCGTGGCTCTGAGGCACTAGTGTTGGTGGACGACACCTGGGCAAAACCAGGCGTGCAAGGGCATGTACTCCTGCCTGGTGTGCTGTTGATCTTCTTCACACACAGAGCTGAGCTCCCAGAGTGTGTGGAGAGACAGATAAGCCAGGATAAACTAGTCCCTTTTTCACCACCAAATGGACCAGCTATGAATTTCCAGGAGACCCCGCACCCAACCCTCTACACGGTTGCAGGAAGTAACTCCTAGAGTGCCTCGGCAACTCCCACGCCTCTGGGAGGCATCACGAGAAGAGCTTGGACTGGGTGTTTGAACTTGGGTTCCACCATGAGCCCCAGCTGGGGCCCCTGACCACGTTACTTTGCACCGGTGAGCGCCGCTCTCCTCATCTGTAAACCGGGGGTGAGAGCAAGCGTAGAGCATTGCTGAGATGATTCTGTGCAGGAAGGACCAGCTCCTGGAATGTGCCACATGCTCCATAGGCAGTCGCTGTGATTCTCTTGTCCTGCTGGACCTGGAAGTGGGGCCCGTGTGACCTTTCTCTTGCCCTCCCGCAGGTCACGGACGAGGAGCCCAGTTCCAACCACACGGTCATGATCCAGGAGACCCTCCAGCAGGCCTCCGTGGAGCTGGCTGAGCAGCATCACTTGGTGGTGTCCTCCGACGACGTGGAGGGCATTGAGACGGTAACCGTCTACACGCAGGGCGGGGAGGCCTCGGAGTTCATCGTCTACGTGCAGGAGGCCGTGCAGCCCGTGGAGGAGCAGGCCGTGGGGCAGCCGGCCCCGGAGCTCTAGAGGACACGCAGTGTGGGACAGCGCCACGGGGCAGGGCTGCCGGCCTCTGTGCAGCCCCCGGGACAGCCAGGGCGGGGAGGCCCCAGAGAAGTGCTCTCCCAGGCTCTCCTCTGCGCTGTCCACCCTGGCGGCCGCGTGGGGCTCTCCTGGCCCGGCTTTGGGTGGGCGAGGGATCGGCATCACCAGCGACACAGGAGCGCTGCCCCCAGCACAGGCACACGCACCTTCCCCCCGCGTCGTCTGCTTCCAGAAAGACCTGTGCCTCAACTCCCCAAACATGGCCCGTACCGCATAGCCCCTTTGCTTCAAGTGTCGAACAGAGACCCCCAATTCTCATCGGCGTCTTCCCTGAATCACAGCCTAACTCCTTGACCCCTGTCTGGGTGCCGAATCTTTACCTGGGACTGCTCTGCAGCCTGGTAACCAGGAGACAGCTGTCAGAGAAAGCGACCTTAACGGTGTTTGAATCACCTGTGAGAGAAAAGAGGGGAGGGGTTATCTACACAGTTCCACCCTCCTCAGGCCTCAAGGGCGCTTATTATCATGTGAAGTAATGATGGTTTGACGGCCCTCCCGCTCCCATCACACGTGGTGGTCTCAGCTTACTATCTTGGAATTCTTTTGCTTTTAAAATAAATGCACTTTCTCCTATTCACCTCCTACTCTATGGAGGTGAGTTGGATAGAATAAAAGCATTCTCTGCCTGAGTACTTCTGCTCCTCTGTTAGGTTGGTGGGTTTACCTTTCCCCTTCCCAAGTCAGAATCTGGGATTTGGACCCCACCCAGGACAACCCTCTCTGAGACCCAGGCCCTCAAAATGTGACAGTGATGCTCGTTCTCCCTCTGAAGCATTAGCCTTGCTTTGGGGCCACTGTTTGAGGTTAACGGTCTTGCGCCCCACGTCCTGGCACCTCGCATTGGCTTTGCTGCAGCCCCTTCCCACCTTGGGAGGAGAAGTAAACCGACAGTCAGGAGCCTCCGTGATGCTCTCTAGTCCGACTGCCTTTTAGTCCAGGTGCTCGTGATAAATCCCGTACCTTTTGGCGCCTCTGCCGTGTGGCAGCTTTGTGGAGGCACCGAGGCGAATCCTACTGCCCCCTGTCCAGCCCCGGGGTCTCGTGACATCGTCACCCAACGTCCAGCTCACTGAGGTCAAGATCTTTTTTCTATCAAATGAAATTTTATTTAATTTATAGTGATTCTAACCAATTGTTTGAATAAACCATCCTTTTAAGTTGTAAAATACCAAGCTATTGCCTCATGGTTTTAGATTTTCACATTTCTAGACTAGACAATGAAATCATCTATATTACATAGGACGGTTCACAAAACTGTTCATCTGAAACAACGTTTTTGATGCTCTTTGGGCACTAAAAACAGCCAAAACTTTTGATTCAGTAACAAATGAAGAAAAAGCTTGAGAATTATTTTTAATCCTACAATGGTTTGCTGTCCTTTGTTTCCAAGGAAGACATTACTGACCCATTTTCAGTAAAGAATGAACTTTGAGTTATTTCTCTAATAAGGGTGGTGGATTTCTACCAGTCTTGGTAAAGATAAATGGTACAACGAAACGATGGATTTTTTTCTCTTAATGTTTAGAAGCCTGTGTGTCGTGTTTGTTTGTTTGTTTCTTGACATATAATTGACCTACGACACTACGTTAGTTCCAGGTACACAACATAGTGATGGGATATTTTTATACATTACAAAATGATCACCACAGTAAGTCTAGTTATTGTCCGTCATCATACAAAGTTATTACACAGTTATTGACTATATTTCTCCATCCTGTACATTTCATCCCTATGACTCATTTGTTTCGTAACTGGAAGTTTGTACCTCTTAATCTCCCTCACATATTTCACTTACCCCTCCAACTCCTCTCCCCTCTGCAACCACCTGTTTGTTTTGTTTGTTTTGTTTTTTAGATTCCACATATAAGTGAAATCATATGGTATTTGTCTTTATCTAACTTATTGCACTTAGCATAATACCCTCTAAGTCCATCCATCGTGTCACAAATGGCTAGATTCCATTCTTTTTTTATGGCTGAGTAATGTTCTATTGTGTAGATATACCACATATTCTTTACCTATTCATCTGTTGATGGGCACTTAGGTTGCTTTCATATATTGGCTATTGAAAATAATGCTGCAGTGAACATAGGGGTACATAATATCTTTTTGAATTAGTATTTTTGTTTTTGTTTTGAAAAAATACCCAGTTGTGGAATTGCTGATTGTATGGTAGTTCTATTTTTAATTTTTTGAGGAACTGGCATACTGTTCTCCATAGTGGCTACACCAATTTGCATTCTTACCAGCAGTGCACAAGGGATCCCTTTTCTCCACGTCCTCACCAACACTTGTTATTTGCTGCTTTTTTGATAACAGCCATTCTGACAGGAGTGAGGCGATATTTCGTTGTGGTTTTCCTTTGCATTGCCCTGATGATTAGTGACAGTGAGCATCTTTTCATGTGTCTGTTGGCCATCTGTATGTCTTATTTGGAAAAATTCCTATTCAGGTCTTCAGCCCATTTTTTAATTGGGTTGTTTATTTATCTTTGATGTTGAGTTGTATGAGTTCTCTGGATATTTTGGATATTAACCCCTTATCTGATATATTGTTTGCAGATATTTTCTCCCATTCAGTAGGTGGCGTTTTCATTTTGTTGATGACTTCCTTTATGGTGCAAAAGCTTTTTAGTTTTATGTATTCTCATGTGTTTATTTTTGCATTTGTTTCCCTTGTCTGAGAAGACATATTAAAAATATATATATATTGCTCTGACTGGTATCAGAGAGCATACTGCTTATGTTTTCTTCTAGGGGGTTTATGTTTTCAGGTCTTAGATTTAAGTCTTTAATCCACTTTGAGTTTATTTTTGTATATGGTGTGAGAAAATGTTCTAATTCTATTCTTCTACATGCAGCTGTCCAGTTTTCTCAGCTGGAGGTTTCATTTATTTATTGGAGAAATTTTTTCCCCCCATTGTATATTCTTGCCTCCTTTGTTGTAGATTAATTGACCATCCATGTAAGTTGGGTTTATTTCTGAGTTCTCTATTCTGTGTCATTGATCTACGTGTCTGTTTTTGTGCCAGTACCTTACTGTTTTGATCACTGTGGCTTTGTAGTGTAGTTTGAAACCAGAGAGTGTGATACGTCCAGCTTTATTGTTCTTTCTCAAGAGTGTTTTGGCTCTTTGGGGTCTTCTGTGTTTCCATAAAAATTTTAGGATTATTTATTCTAGTTCTGTGAAAATGCCATTGGTATTTTGGTGGGGATTGTATTGAATCTGTAGATTGCCTTGGGTAATATGGTCATTTTAACAATATTAATTCTTCCAATCTATGAACATGGTATATCTTTCCATCTGTTTGTGCTGTCTTCAGAGTCTTAGAGTTTTCCAAATACAGGTCTTTTACCTCCTGGTTTAGATTTATTCCTAGGTGTTCTATTCTTTTTAATGCAATTATAAGTGGGATTGTTTTCTTAATTTCTCTTTCTGATAGTTCATTGTTAGTGTATAGAAATGCAACAGATTTCTGTATATTAATTTTGTATCCTGCCACTTTACTCAATTCATTTATTAGTTCTAACAGATTTTTGGTGGCATCTCTAAGGTTTTCTATATATAGTATCATGTCATCTTCAAACAGTGACAGTTTTACTTCTTTCTTTCCAATTTGGATTCCTTTTATTTCTTTTTCTTGTCTGATTGCTATTGCTGGGGACTTATAATACTATGTTGAATAAAAGTGGCAAGAGTGGGCGTTCTTGTCTTGTTCCTGATCGTAGAGGAAATGCCTTCACTATTGAATATGACGTTAGCTGTGGGATTTTCATATGTGGCTTTTATTATGTTGAGGTGTGCTCCCTCTATGCCGACTTTGTTGAGAGTCTTCATCATAAATATATACTGAATTCTGCCAAAAGCCTTTTCTGCGTCTGTTGAGATGATCATATGATTTTCATTTTTCAGTTTGTTAATATGGTGTATCACATTGATTGATTTGGAGATATTGGACTATCTTTGCGTCCCTGGAATAAATCCCACTTGATCATGGTGTATGATCCTTTTAAGGTATTGTTGAATTTGGTTTGATAATATTAGGTTGAGGATTTTTGCATCTAAGTTCATCAGTGATATCATCCTGTAATTTTCTTTTTTTGTGGTGTCTTTGTCTGGTTTTGGTATTGATGATGCTGGCCTCGTAGACTGAGTTCAGAAATGTTCCTTTCTGTTGAAGTTTTTGGAATAGTTTGAGAAACATAGGTGTTAACTCCTCTCTAAATGTTTGATAGAATTCACCTGTGAAACTCTCTGGTCCTGGACTTTTGTTTGTTGGGAGTTTTTATTACAGATTCAATTTTATGACTGGTAATTTGTTCATATTTTTTATTTCTTCCTGATTCAGTCTCAGGAGATTGTACGTTTCTAGGAATTTATCCATTCCTTCTAGGTTGTACATTTTTGGGGTGTACAGTCGTTTTGTGGTTCGTAGTCATTTCTTGTGATCCTTTGTATTTGTGCGGTGTCAGTTGTAACTTCTCACTGAGGTCAAGGTTTGTTTCCTCCGAGAACCCTTTCTTCAGATGAAATCTCATGCAGGTGTATAAGCAGATGTACAAACAAGTGAAGTGGTAGTTGTTCTGGATGAAGAGGGTGGAGTCCATAGCCCCATGCACTTGGCTTTCATTGTCACCACCCTATCACCCCAGCCAGATCTGAGGGGACCTCCTGGGGGAAGCTTAAAAGCTGCTGCTCTGATACAAGGAGGGGAGTGGCTGCTTTCCCTAAGCCAGGAAGGTAAGAAGTGCCACTGGAACTCAGAGGAAGCAAGGACACTTCCCACTCAGGATAAGTTAGGGAAAGCTTCGTGGTGGAGGTGGCCTGTGATCGGGGCTTTGTAAACTAGATAGACTTTGCACTTGCAGGGAGTGGAGTCGGAGGAGAGGGAGGGGATTCCAAAGAAGAGTAACAGTGGCGCTAACCCCTGAGGGTGGGACAGCATGGAGGATGAATGGTGAGCCATGAGCGTTTCTGTTAGGCTGGTGGGTCCTCTAAGGGGGAAGACAGAAGGGTCAACCAGAAGCCAGAACCTAGAGGAATAGGTTGGATATTGGAGATGATGGATATTGATTTTATTCAATAAACGTAACTCAATAAAATTAAATGGGGACACAGTGGCCATTTAATAGACCCAGGGTGCAAAGGTCAGAGTGGTATTCCAGAGAGATTAATCCTGCCCAAGTATCCGTGTAAGTTCTGTTGAGATGGTTGAGCATCCAGGTCAGAGACGGAGTCTGGGCTCAGATCCAGTTCTGTCACTTTTCTGAGTGACCATGGCGTGTTCTATGCCTGTCTGAGTTTTAGTTTACTGATCTCTGAAAGGGGTCTGATGATAATTGCGAACTCCTAAGATTACTGAGAGCATTAACTGAACAGAGCCCAAGAAGCCATTAGCAGAGCACCTGGCCCACACTCTGTAATTATCCATTATTATTTGTGCTCCTAGTCACGGGGCCCACAAATATGAACATCCCTCAAACGACGCACTCAAAGTGGTCATGATCTCGTGGGAAAGATGCAACACGAATGCACAAAAGGAAAAGTCTAACTGCGTGTGCTCGGTGTAAGCCGTGGGGTGAGGCTGGAGGGAGGAGCCTGCCCTTCCCAGGTCCCCTGACACAAGGCC